AAAGATGGAAAGATTGCTCAAGTAAAACTTTTTGAGGCAACTAAGTAAAGGGTCCACAGTAGTAAATACTGCATTGTTTAATAACTAACTTAAACCTCCAGTCAAACTCTGAACATGAAAACAGCATGACAGTCCCTATTATTTTGCAACCAAGCAGCATCATATTGACTCTTGGTCCCCTGTGTTCTTGTATATTTTAGGGCTACCCACACACACATCACTAACTCACCTGATCTCACTCTTTAACTATTATTTGGCTGATAAAATCTTTTTGTTTACTGAAGTTTAACAACTAAACACATAACACTGCCAATATGAAACACAATCTTACTCATAACAACATTCTCATATGAATTTCTCTAAGCTTCAAGTCTGTGGTGCTGGCTTTTAAAAGCCCTGTGTTACTCATGGCTGTTTTAATTCTGCTCCCCTCAACCCTCTCAAAAACACAACTGTCCTACCAGTAATAAGGACAGGATTCTGCCATTACCTTCCTATCCTATAAAGATAGCTCAGATCATTGGTGCAATCAAAAATATGCTTGCCAATATTTTACATGCTGCTATCAAGAATTCTGTTCAGCTTGCTATGGCAAAGCTTAAGCCTTCCTCCCTTCTTTCCCTGTACTAACATTTTTTTATCACCAGGTTGTACTGATCCGCTCTGTGTGCGGTGAGGTCAGGCTGGATAACACGTAAATGCTGAAGTATTGTTTTCCCAGGTATTCTGATCCTGGAGGAGAGTTGACAAAGGTATAGCACCTCTGCAAAATCACGCTCTAGTAGAGTATCTTCCCTAAATTAGGTAGCTTTACCTTTTATTCTAGTGGAAATCCTTCTATTTCTCAAAGATGAATGAATCTGACCCATCAATAGTTCAAACACCAAATAAACCTATCTGAAATTAATTAAAATGAAAAAACTATGAGCTTCCATCTTACTAGAGACACATAAACAAACACTAATGCTGCAAAATTGGTAAATGTGATACTTTACAGGAACACAAAATATTAATTCTACATTTTTGAGCATCACTGTGGGCCACGTCCTTTTCAAATCTCCACTGAGATGTGAAACATTGGGGCTCTCATAAGCAAAATGGAACAAACTTTAGTATATCTGTTTCAATGAATTATCCCTCTTAAAGCTGCCTTTTATCACCTTAAGAACTGCCATCTTCTAGGATTAATACTTACTCTGTGGATTATTTTTTACCATATGAATCACAAATTTCATTATCACAGCTTGTCACTAAAACTCATCTTATGTAACAATTCAGTAAAAAAAGACTTTCTCAGATATGCTTCCATTTAAACTCCATGTACTGCTGTCATGCCTAAGCACATCAACTCACATTTCATCAGAATTGCAATCTCTTCACTAACAAAAGAGCTCCACCTGATTTTCCTTATGCTTTCTATTTTTGTAATGTCTGACTTTCAGACTGTGTTTTCAATCTATGTTTGCAATGTTTCTAACTTTGTGAGTCTTCGTTTCACCACAGCAGCAAACCCAGATGCACACCTCAGCTCCTTATTCCCACCCGTGGAAGTGCCATAACAGTCTGGTTTCAATACAGGTACACACTCAATTAATTAATAGTTGAATTAGAGCTTCCTGATATCTTTCAGCTCTGGACTAATTCTTCCCACTTCCTTTTCACTCCTGCTCCCATTGTTTCATGCATTGCAGCATCACCAAAATAACTTTGCAGGGCAAACCCTATGGAGCTAAAAAAGGCTCTCAATTCATGGTATGGTGCTTTTGTTGACCCCTGCCAAAGGCCAATCTTAAGAAGCACATCAGCTGGAGAGACCAGAAACCTCTGTAATAGATTTCATTCAATTACTAGCATTGATGCATAGTACTATCTCTCCTTTAAATCCACAGAAGACTTCTTTCACTTCTGTGTTCCCCTATCAACACATAGGAAACACCACATAACTACACACAGGTCTAGAAAAGATGATGTAGATAAAACAATGTTTCAAATTTTCTATATTACAACCTATGTTAAGGAAATTAAAACCTCATTTGGGCATTTCTTCCTAAAATTACTTCACTCTTAACATCTCTAGTTGAAAACGCAACGTTGCTAGGCAAGGATGTGGATGATAAGGGAGATAAGGGACAGAATTGTTTATACTGCATAGCCTTTGTCTTTTCATGTAAATACAGATAGCATGGGGTTAATACAGGTTAATGTTGAGGAAACTGTCAAAATGTGTAATTCACACATCTTCAGTTTATCACAGAATCATAGAGGATGGTAAATACCTCCAAGGTCACCAAGGCCAACCTTTGACCAATCACCACCTTGTCAACTAGACAATATATCCAGTTGCCATGTCGAGTTATCTTGTTCTGTTGGATCTATTCATAATTTTTATAACAGTGTCAAGAGGCTTTTCCAGAAGAAAAGATCTTCAAAGCAATTTATTCATTGAAATCCATGACAGCAAGACTTTCTATTACTTCTACATCTTTCATTGTGTATCCACACAATGAAATCAAACACTATCCATGCAAATAGCTCAGAAATACTAAATCTCATAATGGTTCTCCCATTATATGTCAGCTATTTACATAAAAAATTGCCACTCAATAATAATTACATCATTTAAAATTTCGTAAAGAAGCAAATTAGTGATCCAGGTCTGAAGCAAGCACAGAACAAGTTAAGTGCATATCACAGGGAGATGATTTTAAGCATTAAGTAAACAACGATTATATTATCTGGAATATAAACAAACCTCAGTGTTTCTTTGTTCATAAATACACACACCATGTAATCATCTGCAAATATTGGCATTAGATACCATCACACTCATATAGTAGTGTTATGCTCCTTTCAAATTCTCACAGCAATGCAATGTGCCTTATTTATACTAAACCTTTTGTTTTTAAAGGACCAGCTTATATAATACAATTAATTGCCAGTCTGCTTTAATAATCATTAGATATTATACACGCTGAGGACAAAGTAGTCTTCATGTTACAAATGCATGTCCGTATATTGACACGTAGAGTGCCCATGGTGGTGCAGTGGTTAGGCTGCGGCGCTGTCACCGCCGAGGCCCGGGTTCGATTCCCGGTCAGGGCCATTCCCCGGGCAGATGGAGCTCGTTAGCCCTGTAAGGCAATCCATCTACGTCCTGAGGACCTCGCTGCCACCGTCCAAGCTCGCTTGGCCCCGGCAGATGAACCTTAGGATTAAAGGGTGGGCTCAGTTCCGCGCACACTGTGTCTCACCTAAAAAATCCAATGCGCAGGCTGGAAGGTGGAAAGACCTTCCCTGGTTCTTCGTTCGCGAAGATTGGCCATTAATTTAAATATTGACATGTCTGCAGCCACACAGGAATTCTCAAGCTCAGGTTGAGTGAACCAGCCACAAAGTGAAGCACAAACACTTTTTGCCAGATCTAGGTATTAGACTGGTGGTTTCTCTTTGGTTACAGAATCATTAAGACAACCCTCACCAGAGCTTCTCAATATTGAAGTGATATGTAACAATAATTCAGAAATTCAGGAATTCCATACCATCAGCAGCACATACTGGGGACAAGACTTAAATGGCATAATATGGAAAACACTGGAAAATAAATGATAAGTCTGATTTTATGCTGTGCTCTGCCCTAGAGTCTCTTACTATTCTTGCAAAAGCAGTCTTGATTCTGCCAGGGGCGCAGAAGAGGTATCTGGAAGCTGGGTGTAACACCAAAGTTTATGGTAGGACTTTCACATGAACTAGTGCATTCGTGTGTAAATCGCTCCCACTCTGTGTACACAGAAAGAGCATCAACTGACACAGATATGAACACTTTGCCTTCCTTTCGCATTTTCATCTATTCTGTGTGCAGTGCTTGCTGTTTGAATGGTGGGTGTCTGTACTGATGGGAATAGAGATTTGGGCCCTGATCATTTTCATACTAATCCCTAATACAGACTGCTCAGCATTGCTAATGGTGCTCTTAAGAGCTGAGCAGTTCAGCCTTAACACAGAACCGAACACAGCCCTGTGCGCACTTTCCTAGTCTTGTCCCATCCTCAAGAGGAACTTCAGCTCTAAATACAGCTTTCCAGACTGCAGAAATATTCCTAAATGATGCTCAACTCGTACAGTGTTCAAATTCTTTTACTGGTAACTTTTCCTTGTCATAAATTATTTGTCAAGTAAAACCTGACAAATCCTTCACAGACATTGATCATCATCCAATAACTTCAAAAAAGCTTGACTCTGTTATGACCACACTACTGGCTTGGGGGGGTTGTTGGCAAAACTGCATTGCATGAACAGCAAAAAAAAAAGCTCATGAGATCTTCACCAAACTTCCTTTCTGAAAGAAAACCAGAGGAAATCCAATTCTACAGTCAGTGATGAAGTTACTAATCACTGAAATTAAAGGATTTTAAAAAAGCATGTCCTGAGTATAGATACACAAGGATATTATACTTAAGTATATATCAGTAATAAAATTAACAGTTACCTATTACAATGTATACTACACAGAAATGGCACTATTTTTCAGGCAGATGTCAAAATTAAGATCAGCATGAACTACCAAAAAGACCACAGAATATTTTTCTTAATCCCTCATAAACCAAATCCAGAAAAAAAGCAAGAGAAACTTTCCTCTGAACACTGTACCATCCTACATTGCTCATTTTTATTTTGAAAGCTGGTTGTTTTACAAAAGGGGATCTGTAGACATAAATGTTATGCATGTGGTTTTGCAGAGAGGCACAGCACAGTGATTAGTGCATTAACAAAATTCCTCTACTCATCCAGGAATAATGTTGGACCTCATGTTCCAAGAACAGCACATACTTAATAGCATGGTATTGTCTTCACTTTGTTTTAATGAGAAGCAGAACCTTAGAAAACAGATAGTGTGTCAATTCTTGTAATGCTGTATGCCATTCAGATGAATGTCCTTTGGTATAATATTTCATATAAAAAATGCAAAGGCTTTTTCCTCAGACACGTGTGGATTTTCTTACCTTTGGTTCCATTGAAATGAAGCTGTGGGTACCTCTACTTGAGAGAACTGACCTTTTAATTGTTTTACTATGGTAGAAGTGGTAGTAATCCTTCAGTGTTCCAATCTGTAAGAGCAGGGAAGAAAAAAAAGAAGGAGACTTAATTTATGAAAACTGGTTTTCTGTTTTTCATTTCTTAAAGTCTATAAATTATGCAATTTCCTGTGTGCTGAAATGTTACTTGAACCCACTGATCATCTTTCAAAAGAAGGACATACGATATGAAATAGATGGAGTATCCTTCAGGCAGTAACTGCATAACCAAAGATTATAACTGAGCTGCTTAGTCTGGCTGTATCTACCTTTTTAATGTTTAATTTATATGCAGTACTTTAAGTAATTCTATATCAATCTATATCCAAACTGCCCTCAAATGCCAAGTATTTCAATGGCCATAGGGTTATTAAAAAGCATTTCAGCTAGTTTGCTTAAAGAAATGTACTGTAAAAGACACTAGATTGGGTTATTTATATAAATAAATTATTATAAGGATAGTCACAGCCTCAGACTACCCGACAAGAATATCCTTCCTTTTCTAACAAACACGGGCAAAAAAGATAGAAGAAAGAAAGATGGAAATGATAACTTCATAGGATAATAAATCGCTTAAAGTACAAAAACAATTAATGCAAAATAGCAAATTTCACAATGGTACAATAAAAATGCTTTTTATTCATCCCTTCAGTACACAGTAGCAACATAAATATTAAACTAAGATGGCCTTCACCATTTGAAAAAGAAATTTTCCTTTCCAGAGTCATCACTATCTAAACATTCATAGGTTGAAAATTCAGCTTCACTCACTTAAACATCCAGTCTCACCATCTTTGGGAGAATGTCTTTCCAAATAATTGGGAATTTGACCTACTATTGCACTGCAAATCTTGTAAGACACTTAATAATTTGGTTTCAAGTTCCTCAATCATGAGTAAAAAAAGGGACAATTGAGCTTACTGTCATTTCAAGTTGAAACTCAATGTAACCTCAGGAAACAGGCTTGGTTTTGTAAATGAGCTGAATGGAATCACCAGAGAGAGTGGAGCAACACTTGGAAACTTTAATCTTAAAAAATCCCACAGTATTCTGAATTTGCATCTACAAGAACACACATGTAGGAAACTTGAAAGTTCAAGAGTAAAGACTCAAAGAGAACTGGAAATAAGTTACTGAAAAATTCCAAGAATATACTTTTAGAATATTAGAAAACAAAAATCTTGAGACAATATCAAAGTAGACTACTAAGAAATACTGATAGAAGATTTCAACAATTTAAATTAATTCACCTTATGGGGAAAACCGCAACAGTGTCTACGATATAACCCCAAATATGTGCAGTTGGTCCATCAATATCTTCATTTCAGGAGGAGTGACTTACATTTAGTTTAAGTCAAATAAAACATTCAGTTAAAACAAGTTAGTTTATCATAAATTAAATAGGAATTGGTTTATCTAAGCCTAATTAAAATATATTAGCACTGGAATGATTTTCATGCGGCCTTCTCTTTGAAAGGCAGTTCCAGCTGAAGTGGCACAACTGTAGCACGGTTGAGCCCAGTTGTAGTGAACAAAGCTATATCTGGCTGGTGACTGGTCACCCCAGCTGTTTCTCAGGGCTCAATCCTAGGAGTACTTCTGTTCAATATATTTATGAACAATCTGGATACAGAAGTTAAGTTTGTTGGTTATACCAACCTGTGAGACACTGTTGACTCTCTTGGGGGACCAGAGGCCTTGCAGAGGGAACTGGACAGATCAGAGCATTAGGCTATGTTTAATGGAGTGAAATTTAAAAAGCTGAACTGCTGGATTCTGCATTGAGGATGCAGTAATGGCAGGTACACGTGTAAAACAGGAGAGGAGTGAGCCAAACTGCATCCTGGGGTGCATCAAACACAGCATAACCAGCCAGACAAAGGAGGTTGTTATCTCGCTGTATTCAGTTTTGGTAGGCCTCATTTGGAGTTCTGGGTGCAGTTCTGGGATCCACAATTTAAGGATGTGAAGGTCCTTGAATGTGTCCAGAGGAAGGCAACAAAGCTGGTGAATGGCCTGGAAGGCATGGCTTGTTAAGTGGGCCTGAGCACACTTTGTCTGGTTTGGAGTTGTCTGGTTTGTCTGGTTTGGAGAACAGAAGGCTGATGGGCAACCTCATTGCTCTCTAGAGCTTCCTGAAGAGGGGACAAGCAGAGGGATGTGCTGATCTCTTGCTCCAGGATCCAGGGATAGGATGTGTGGGAATGGTTTAGAGTGTCATCAGGGGAGGTTCACACTGGAGTTTAGGAACTGTTACTTTACCAGAAGGATTGGTAAACAGTAAAACAGGCTTCCTGGGGAGGTCATCAATGCCCCATGCCCCTCAGTATTTAAGAGACATTTGGACAATGCCCTTAATAACGTGATGTAAGTGTTCGTCAACCCTCAATCAGTTAACTAGATGGTCACTGCAGATCCCTTCCAATTCTATTCTATCCTATTCAATTCTATTCTGTTCTATGCCATTCATTTTTAGTACAGTAACTTTATTTTGATTTTAACAGCCTGTAGCATAGCACAGTTCTGTAACACTAGGTTACTGCTGCACTCTTTTTGAATTACTACCATTTGTATCAACCACTGAAGTTTGGTGCCAGGCTTAGCATGGGTACAGGTTGTACAGAGGGTTGTAATCAGTTACTTCCTGGATGTTTCCTGAACTGATCAGTAGCTTCCAACAGGTCTGAAATGCTAAGTGCTAGGAAGTAATGCTGTTCTTGCTTCTTAAGTCCTCAGAAACCTGTGAAGCACATATTCATCATAAAAGGCTCTTCTACAAAGGCTACTGAACTTTTATTGATCTTGCTGTCTTCAGAGTAAATTAGAAAGCCACTACTTTGTCAGTGTGTGTCTACACAAGCACATACGTTAGTGAAAGGACTCAGCTCAGACAGGTAGCTGTCTTGTACCATTTCAGAGAATTGCATAAATAGAAAGGTCATATTATAGGGAAAATAAGCATCTGTCCTGCTTTGTGTTACAAAGGTCTCAGTATCACCAGTCCTTGCATTAGTTTGAGGGTTTTATTTTTTCAATTAATTACTGAAGGCTAGCCCTAGCTGACCACTCTGAGAGCATCCAAAACAGCAAGTTTAGGAGATGACCTAATTGCACTTCTGGAGGTCCTACAGTTTAGCATCTACTAGAAGACTGGAGGGATCTGTGTATTGTACCTTCCAGCCCAAGTAGGACAGCATGAGGCTTTGTAATCCTTGACAGCTGTACTCCCTCTGAGACCTTTAGCTGAGGAGATGGAATTAAGCCCTTGGAATTACATGTGGTAATTGCAATGCCAAGTCTTCCAAGTACCACAATTTTAGATAATAACAATTATTAATATTAGCAGTGATTATTTAAAATTGTGAGATCTACAGCTTTAGCTCATAACTGTCAGGGAATTAAAAGGATCCCATTTTTTTTAATGTAATTTAATTCATATTCTCTCTGCCTCTCACAGCAAAGTCATACCAGCATTATTAAAAATTTTGTTGACTTTTTTTCCCTTAGTGGGAATTTACTTAGACCTTCCAAATCCTTGGACCACAAAGGGAAGAGTTAAACCATGGAACTACAGCACAATAAAACTTACCATTATGTATCTTCTTATTAAATTGTTTTTTAAACTTTTAACTCCCATGTCCTAGAGATACACTCAGAGAAAAGCAATGCAAAATAGAAACACCAGAATCCTGAGCTAAATACTCTAATACTACTAAAGACTGATGGCAATTTAACACTTGGTCCTTGGGAAATCTTTTTAACCTCCTTTTTTATCTGCAGGATGTGATCTCTTTAAAAAGAAACAGGGAAATATTGCCTGGACAGAAGCGAGAAGAATGGACAGCAGGGGCAGGGGAGAATTAATCTCTTCAGAAGTAATATCCATAACTGTACATTTTAAAGAGATCTATATATACATTTTAGTTGCACTATACTGTATTTTTTCAAGGCTGAAATAATTTCTGGAAGTAACAATCCTACAATATTAAAGTGGCATCCCTGAAAATCAAAGCACCTACACATATTCACATTAATTTTATATTTATCATGTCTTATTTTCTATTTAAAATTCAGAAAATGTGTGAATTTTAAAGATATACAAAACAAGAGCCAAACTTTCTGAGCTTATTCTTGAAAAATATTTCTCCTATATATTCTTTTACAGTCTAACATTAAGATAATTTAGTACATAATTACTGAATTAATTCATCTACATCTGCATTGTGTCCTCATGAACTCTTCAGGGAAACACAACTGCTAAAGCAAACTATTAAATATACTTCAAATGTATTTATATGATCACCAAACTGACATATCTGACTAAGCTCCTAAATTACAGCTGAAACTTCTTTGTAGCTGAACATGAGTAGGGAAGTTGCTCCAGCTACTGTGAAGGAACCTAAGAGATGATTCTTAGCTTGCAAATAAACTTTTTTTTAAGAGACAAATGTTCTAAACATCTAGCTGCAAAGTGCTCTTCTCCCAGTGGACTGAATGGAAAACAATATGCTGCTGATTCGGTGAATTGGGTCCCTGTTTCTCCAGTCTTTAATGACTTTCTGCTAAATGAATTTTGTAAAGGAAAATAGATCAGATTCAAATTTGGTTCTGAACTCTCTAAAGCACTAGCAGAGCCAAAGAAGCACAGAAATATCCTGTGCAGATCTGGAACACAGAACATTATAAATAGGTACATTGATGTATTTCACACGGGGTTGAAGATATGATCTTTCCTGCCTTGCAAAAATTTCCAAACTGCTACAGTCCTCGGCAGAAGAAAATATCAAAAACAGAGACATGAAGAAAGTTTATCAGGTTTACTATTATCATCTCGTTTTAACATTTCAACTCTATTTCAAACTTTTAAATTTCTTCAGATCGAAGCATTTTCATTTTTCTCTGAATTATCGTTTCTGGTGCACTCTGCATAATGTGACAACATTTTTAATGTTTTCATAGAATCACAGAATGGCCTGGATGACACCAAGCTGCAGCTGACTCATGAGGGATGGGATGCCATCCAGAGGGATCAG